AAATGGAGTTTCATGCCTCTGGTATTACACTGTGTGGGAACAGAAATTTTTCTAAGTCCCAATATTGAGTACCAGGACCACAGGTCATTAATTTTTGTAAGTCCCAAACAGGCCATGCTGCACTCTGCTTCACCCATGGAGTACCACACATCTCTGGCCAGGCTCTTATCATCTCTGGGCCCTCACACTGACCCCCCCCAGCCTCTGCTACACTTTACCCAGGGAGGAGCACACACCTCCGGTCCAAAAAGTGAACGCCACACAAGGGTTCAATACACTTTACATTGGCAAAATTAAAAACCACATGCTTCCATCTCTGTAATGCTGTGGTTTGGTTTAACCAGGAAAGTAAGAAGGGACAGTTATGAAAGATCTGCTACAATCTGGTGATATAACATGCATTGTCTTGGTGCTTTGTGACAGAAGGTCCAGTTCACCAAATCTGCTTGGCAACAGGCTCCGGTCCTCACACGTGTAGAAGAAAAAAGATTTTTTTTATTTCGAGTTTTCTGAATTCTGAAGTGACATTTTGATTCTCTATTGCCACCTCATGGTAGATTTGTGTTTTGCACCATTGTAGCTATAGTCACAAAGAAGTCACAGAACGTGGGCCACACAAAGGCATAAAGACGTGTGTGTGTGTGCGCGCACGTTACCTCTGTAGTGCTCCATGCGAGTGTGGTGCGTGACTCCCTGTGACCTGAAGCTCAGACTCAGGATGTATCGTGGGTCCGAACTGTCCCGAACCAGAAACGATCCGTCTGGTTTCCCCTTCAGCTTCATCTCTGCGTCCTCCCAGTTCATGGGACCCCAGTACCAGCCGCACTGGGAACACACCAACACACACCGTCATACCAAGCCCCTCACTACATTTCCAGATTCTCTAAATTCATCCCAATAAATGGAAACCCATTTCTGCCAGTCATGGCAAGTCAACGAAATAAAATGTCAGAAATTGGAGATAAAATGTCAAAATAGTAAAAAGGCAGAATCAGAGGGATAAAACAATGTTAATAACTAAACTAAGGTGAATGTTTGAGCTACCGTGAGCATTATTTCACCATGACAAACATTTATACTGCCTTGTTCTTGTACCAATCAGACATGAACAGATGCCGACTGTCGACTTTCAGACAAAAACAAATTCAGCCACATGAAGACTTAACGATGTCCATTTAGGGGTTCGTGGGTAGAAAAACTGAGCTGGAAATTCTAATTGAAGTTCAAGATCCTTTCATAATATTAATTTATTGTTTAAGTAAGTAAAATACAAAATAACAGCGGTGTACAACTAATCACGTAGAGGTAAGAGGCCCCACCTTCTCCAGCTCTCTGAGGCTAGTGGCGAAGTTGCTGGCATCCGGTCGTCCGAGGGGGCAGCGGGGGGCGAGTCGCGGCGGGGGGTGGTGGCCATTGGGACGCAGAGGGACCGGCCTTGGTAACCCTGTGGTAAACACAAGTCACAGATGTGTTTGTTCTGGTTTGACACATAAAATTCAAGGTGTTTATTAAAAACTTTGTGAGATTACTGGGGAGCTCTGGGGTCACACAGGTAACAGGTGATTGTCAGTGGGAGCACAAGCCCCTCAGGGCAGCGAGCTGGGGCCTTGTTACTGTTCAGAGGTCATTTTATTAGGAACAGATGTCTCAAACTAGGTCACTGTAGCAGTGCTGCAGTAAACCCCTCCCATGAAGGTGACGATGTTCCATTTGTGTCCTACAATTACAGTAAGACCTGTGTGAGTGTGTGTGTGTGTTTGAGTCACCATTGAGGCTCAAGCTGTGCTGGATGGTGCTGAGCGAGGGGGGCAGGGCCAGCGGATGGGGGGGCAGAGACTGCATGGACGCCCCCGCACTGCGCTCCATGAAGGGACCCTGCTGCTGAGGAGGGCCGCCGAAATCATCTGGACAGCAACAGGACAGAGAAACACACCTGAGACGGTGACGACGTCCTGCCCCGTAACCCACCGTCTCCCACTCTATCCCACTGGTGAAACCTCAATCACGTGATTTTGGCCGCTATAGTCAAGGTAACTAAAGGGAACCACTGTACGTGCGGCTAAGTACACCTCCCTGCAGTCTCAGCGTGTTGTCTGTCTGTAGTTTGTCATACTGGGCTTTATGAGTGAAGTCGGACTTGACAGAAGGACGCACACAAACTAAAAGCAAGTGAAAACCAAGAGAGAAAGAAGAAGTAGCAAAGTACCGAGCAGACTGAGGCTCCGTCTGGGCGGGGGAGGAGGAGTCGGGGGGTGAAGAGAGTTCCCCCCTCTCCGAGAAATATCCACATCAACCAGAGACACCGTCTCACCTGGACACACACATAACACACACACACACACACACAAAAGACGGTTAGAGAGAAACGTGACACGTTAGTGTTCAGTCCCACAGCAGGAAGAAACAGCAGCAGAAAGAAAATGTGGTGAAAATCTCTGGGTAAATCCCAACTCCCTTTAATGCAAACACATTTCCCACGTGCATCTTAGCTCTGCCCACATAAGTTGTGAGGAAACAATGTGAGGAGAGGAACCGAGGAAATGCGTTAATACACACGAGACGTCCTTTCATCTGAAGCATCCAATCATCAGCTGACTTCTGATAAAGGGCCATGTCGGTTCAGAAAAGACTTCAGTGAAGGATGCTCTCGTGTGTCCTCACTCACTGCTCCTCCAGCAGCTTCCTCATTACTCACAGCGGGAGTAAGAGCTTTGGGATGTCCTTCAAGATGGTGGGCCGGAAAGACTACTGGGTTGAGCGAAGATCAAATAAGGGAATTGGGACTTAGCCTTTATTGTCAACAGCTGGGGGCACATGGAGAACAGGGGTGTGTACTGGGCTGATCTGGCACATACTGACTCAGCACTGTGGACTAACAGGCTGCAGAGCTTTACTTTCAAATCAGATCCAACATTTTCATTCTGCCTAAGTGATGTAAGTAACATCCACGAGTCGGTGGAAACGCAGCTGATTCTCACCAAAGTTATCGGCGTTGGGCTTCTGTTAAAAGCCGAGACCTAGAGCCAACGGTGACCCATCCAGCTCATGTCTCAGCAGCTACATGTGAAGAGTCCTTATCAAAAACCTGTGTGTGTTAGTTAAAGCTAAATATGGTCTAGGAGACTGTTCCTGGAGGTTTGAAACCCACACACAAAGAAACCAGCCTTAAACACACCGGTCCAGTCCTAGGGTGTGTCACTGTACAGCTGATTTGTGTTGTTTCATCTGTTTACGAGAATGAATTGCCGATGTGTGACATTCACGCCCCCCACCACACACAGACCACGATACGTCTCAGTGTAAAGACTCTCTCTGCACTTTGACCTTTGTGAGGCTGTTGATAATTACCTGAAACAAACCTCATGATCCAAAGTGCGTTTCGTACACATCTAGTGCCAGCGTTAGTCGGCAGACTGTTCAGCATCACACCTCAGACATACTGTTGTTTATTTCTGATGCTTAAGATCTCTACTGCATATCAGAGCTCAGGTGGTTCACATGTGGTCACCCGTCTCCAGGTACAGCTTTGCTTCATAATAACATGCTGCACCTTGTGGCACTTTTGGCTCCTCAGTTCCAGTAGCTCATCTGTCATCCATCCATCCATTTTCCTCCGCTTATCCGGGACCGGGTCGCGGGGGCAGCAGTCTAAGCAAAGATGCCCAGACTTCCCTCTCTCCAGACACTTCCTCCAGCTCCTCCTGGGGAATGCTGAGGCGTTCCCAGGCCAGCCGAGAGACATAGTCCCTCCAGCATGTCCTGGGTCTTCCCCAGGGCCTCCTCCCAATGGGACATGCCCGGAACACCTCCCTAGGAAGGCACCGAAGAGGCATCCGAAACAGATGCCCGAGCCACCTCAGCTGGCTCCTCTCGATGTGGAGGAGCAGCGGTTCTACTCTGAGCTCCTCCCGGGTGACCGAGCTCCTCACCCTATCTCTAAGGGTGCGCCCAGCCGCCCTGCGGAGGAAGCTCATTTCGGCCGCCTGTATCCGGGATCTTGCCCTTTCGGTCATGACCCAAAGCTCATCTGTCACATGTTGCATTATTTAATCCAAATGGCAGTAAAAACATAAACCTGTCTGTCAGAAAGAGGAATGTGCAGAGAAACATTCTGAATACCAATTCAAACAACAGAACGAGGTACATCAGCCGCAGCAGTGGACGACAACCACAGCAGCTCTCCAAGGCCAATCTGGTTTTAAAGTCTGAGTCCTAGTGAAGAGAAAGTGAAGCTGCTGTGTCCCTGAAACAAAGGGAAACACTTACCGGTGAAAGCAGGAGTGAAGGACACCGGAGAGAAGGCGCTGTGAGGCCTGGACACCTGCAGCCTGGTGGAGACAAACACACAAACATCAGTTAGTGCAGCAGCTACGTCGTCACCCTCACAACTCCACTGTGAAAGCGTTAGATATTAGGGCTAGGATCGATAACAAAAATCACCGTTAGTTTTGGCCCCATTTTTCTTCTTACTTGTGCAGATTAAACAAATTAATGAATGTATAAATAAACTTTGTTCATGACACTTTTTTTGTTTCCATGGTTACCAGTGAGTGACACAAGATGAGTTGTTACTGAGCAGTGACATCACAGTCTCACCTGACCAGGAGGCCGCACCCCCACAGGTCATCATAATTTTGCCCATTGCTATGGAGATGAGCACTAATGTTGGAGTGGTTCTGGACTCAGGAAGTTTCAGTTGTCGCCATGGCACCGCCTCACTTGCTGAGCAGCAAGGATGCTTAATGTCATAGCAACAGCTACATCAAAAAAAATAAAAGCCGTGTAGGTGTCCTCTGAAGTTTGTTGTGCCGTTTATTTTTAACTGACCTGGGACCAGCTTTATCAAAATAAAAAGGGGGGGCAGGACAAAATAACAGGACCACCTTAAAGCACCACATCCCACAGGAGTGAGCGCTGTCAGGTGTATCTTCCATAAAACAGGACAAAGAAAAAAATAAAACCTTCATGAAAGACTCAGATAATTAATCAACTACTCAGTCAAAGGAAGTGAAACCAGAGGATGAGTGCTGGTTTTAGTGGACAAAAAATAAATAAATAAATAAAATAAATCACTGTTTAATCAGTGATACTTGGCATCGGTTTCTATTTACTAGCCTTTATCAATAGATGTAGAACGGTTTTCTATTTTTCTACAGCTCCAGGCAGAACAAACAGGAAGCTGGGCCAAGTCCTCTGCTGATCAGTGCCCTGATGGTTCAGTCCATTAAATATCATGACACAGGAACAGACATGTTTTCTGACCAACAGTGGGAAAATTCAAAACACCAAAACTTCTCGTGTGTGAGATGTTGGGGCTTTTCTCTGCTTCCTGTTGTGATGAACTGAATGTGTTCAGGAAGAAAACGAGACAAAACCTCTCACATATTCTCTGATCATTTACAGACGAGCTGAAAGAATCAATTCATGTGCTGAAAATAATCATTAGTTACAGCCCCCACCTAAATGATCAGGTAACATGCTGTGAAATGTGTTAAATAAATGGTAAATGGATTTATCCTGAAGCACTTATCTATGCACTGAAGCGTGCACACACACACACACAGAGCTTTCACCCCATTTGCCCATTCACCCATTAGCACACACATTCACGTGCCAGCGGAGAGCCACTGAAGCAACGTAGGGGTTCAGTGTCTTGCTGAAGGACACTTTGACATGTGGCCTGGAGGAGCTGGGAACCGAGCCGCCAAGCCCCTGGTTCAGAGATGACCTGCTCAACCTCCGGAGCCGCAGCCACAGACTCAATGTTTACCATTGTGTTTCCGTGACCATTGACAACAAATCGTCCCGACAGAGAACATTAGTATTGCTAATCAATCGACTGCTGGCTGCAGCTCTATGTAAAGCCCCCATGATGTGCAGACTTGTAACACACCTGTCATCCAGACCATGTTTCAGTCCTTCACAAAAGCAGCCAATCATTGCACTGCAGAAGCTGCACTCCAAAGTATCGTTGGCAGATTCCAATTGAAAAATGATCAGTTCTCAAAACTGTTGACCAATCAATTCCTCTTGAATAAGTAAATTAATCAATCATTGCTTGCAGTGCAGCCCTGCTGCACTTCGTTTCTGATTCTTTACTTTTAATGAGCTAAAATCACTTTTTCAAAGCTAACCATGTCAGCTATCAGGTGTTCTTGTCATTTTGTCCGCCCCATGTTTGTTACATTTCAGTCTTCTCCAGTTGTCACGGTGATCACCATCCTCACTGATCAACCAATCGGGTACTATATTAATAATGCACACAGGGTGTGACCCCAATGTGCTGTCCCCCCTCTCACCTGCTGCTGTCCTGCTCCATGCTGCTGCAGGTGGACCCCCACACATCCAGCAGACTCCCCCCAGAAGAGGTGGATGATGCCAGAGATGGCCTCTTGTCCAGAAGCCCCCCTGATCCCCCGTTGGAGCTCTTGGTTCTGAACAGCTTGCTGAGCCGGACCTTCAGGGACCCTCCTTTTCTCGACTTTGCCTGTGGTGTCTTCTCCCCCCCCCGCCCTCCTCCGCCACCTCCCACCTCCCCCTCCAGGACCACCAAGGGGGAGGCAGACCGGCCAGCTGCCCCCGAGGTCACGCCAAGCTTGGGGGTGGTGGCGCGGCTCTGAGGCTGGGAGCGGGACTGGTGCTGATGCTGTGGGTGAGGGCAAGGGTGGGGGCTGGAGGATGGGAAGGGATCAGTGCAGACCTGGAGGCCGCTGAGGGCTGCTGAGACCTGTGGGGCCTGAGAGCGAACAGGGGCATACAGGCAATGGGTGGTGCTGATGGTGGGATGGGGGTCCACGCAGGGTGCAAGGGACACCGCGGCCCCCAGGATGGCCAGCGATGACCGGCAGTTCTGATCGGTGCAGACCCCTGCCTCCTCTGCAAGTCTGTGGACCTGCCGCATCCGACCGCTCAAAGTTCCACTAGAAAACACAGGCCCCGCCCCTCTGGACACAGCCCCTCCACCTATCCTCCCTCCTTTGTCAGGGTCCCCCATGTTCCCTCTATCCTTGTCCCCTCCCTCCTCCAGTCTTCCCACCTCCTCAGAACCAAGACCTTCCAGAACCAGCAAAGCATCACTGGTCTCGCTTGGATCCTCGCCGGGCCCCATGCCACCGGCTCCTGAGGCCAGGACGCTGTGACAGGAGCACCGAGGG